CTCCCATTGCACAGATGCTCCCCACACACAGGTGCCCATCACACAGGGCTGATCCTGCTACACAGATCCTCCCACTCCACAGATGCTCCTACCACACACACACAGGCACCCATCACACAAGGATGCTCCTGCTGCACAGCTGCTCCTATTGCATGGCTGCTCCTCACACACTGAGAGGCTCCCATCACACAGGGATGCTCCCACCACACAGAGAGGCTTCATCATATGGGGATGATTCCACTGCACAGCTGCTCCCCACACACAGGCTCTATCACATAAGGATGTCCCCACTGCACAGCTGCTCCCCCCAACACAGAGATGCCCCAGTGACACTGGACTGAACCCAACTGCCACCAGCACCACTTTGTAGCCGCTGTGTCCTCCCTTGCCACCCAAGCCGGGCGTTGCTGGAGCCACCCTCTCCAGGGTTATGAATTCTAGGGCAGCCTCCTGTCCTAGGATGGACATCACAGTGGTGCAGCCTGTATGTCTGGGCCCTGGTGGCAAAGGGGCCAGGTAAACCCGTTGTCAGGCCACCTTGGGGCTGTGAGATGTCTGTAAGGTCGGGAGTGCCAATATGGTAAAGGCACTTGAGCGGTGGGAAGGTCGGTGCACAAAATTGGCGTCCGCCTTGCTGTCAACCAGAGGAGCAGGAGCATGGCCTCCTGAGTGGCAAATCAGAAAGGTTTTCATTATTACACCCGAAGATGCCGGAAAGCACAGCGGAGAATGCAGGCATCTTCAGTTTGCAGGTGTTACTGACCACACGCTGCATTTGCTCTGACACGGGACCAGGGCACGGGGTAGACCCGCAGCGTCAGGTGTTAAGTGTATTCTGAATGAAGAGACCACCTAAACGTCTTTGTGTGAGCAACAAGGCTGTTTACCACTCAGGTGTGAGCAGGCTGAGTCTGAAAAGAGAGTCAGTGAGGGTGGTGGGTAGGAGCTGGGTTTTTTTTTTTTTTTTTTTTTGAGACGGAGTTTCACTCATGTTACCCAGGCTGGAGTGCAATGGCGCGATCTCGGCTCACCGCAACCTCCGCCTCCTGGGTTCAGGCAATTCTCCTGCCTCAGCCTCCTGAGTAGCTGGGATTACAGGCATGCGCCACCATGTCCAACTAATGTTTTGTATTTTTAGTAGAGACGGGGTTTCACCATGTTGACCAGGATGGTCTCGATCTCTTGACCTCGTGATCCACCCACCTCGGCCTCCCAAAGTGCTGGGATTACAGGCTTGAGCCACCGCACCCGGCCGAGGAGCTGGTTTTATAGGTTCAAGGTAGGTAGTGGAAAGTTACAGTTCAGGGCGGTTTTTGCAAGCTGGGCGGGTTGTCACAGGGGCCAATGTCACAAGGTTGGCTTATCAGTCGAGGCAGGAACAATGGCAGCTTGTCACAGGGTTGGTTAATCAGGCACTGCAGGAGCTAGCTATTCTTCTTTTGCGGTTTTCCTGTTACCTCAGGCTTTCTGGCTCCAGGAGACCATCTGGAGGTGTACGTGCAGGTCACAGGGCTCACCATGGCTTAACTATGGTGTAGCCCATGGTGCAGTCAGTTCAAAGGACTTTGCATCAGGGAACCTGCCTGGAGTTCTGGGCCTGGATACATAGGGAGAAAGCAAGTCCCATAATCGACTGGCTCCCAGGATCCTGGCCCATAAAGGGAGAGGGTTGGAAGATAATCTTCTATGTCCCTTTTGTCCTGACCCGGCGATCATACCCCCAGATACGATATGGGGGTGGGGGGTAATGTGGGCTTCATGGTTTTAATAAGGTTAAAAGCAGGCCCAGTCTTAGCTCAAGCGGCTGGCAGGCTGAGTTAATTTGGGAGAAAACAGATGTGAAGCCCGAAACCTTGGACACAGATCTTTTATTCCCTCCTCCTTGAAATTCTCCAGCCCCAAGCGCTTATTAATGTGGAATTTGCTGCTTGGGGAAAAACCAACTCTCCAACTTCATAAACATTTGTAAGAGCAAATTTAATAAAGCTGAGAATAATACCATTCAGATGTAATTCCTTTATTTTGCATGATGATTCTTTCTTTTCTATTGCAAGGCATTTGAAATGCAAGGAGTTATTGTGTAGCAACAAAAGGAAGTGGCTAACTGGTTGATTACTGATTAAACAGTGCTTGGGGAAAAGCAGAAGAAAGAACTGGAAAAGGGAGCCAGCCCTGTTGTAGAGTGCTTTTATATTTCTTTCTCCTTTGATTACGAATGGCAGAACACACCTGCATTCTTTGCCACACAATCATTCAGTATTGTTGCTTTATTGTATGTATTTTAATATCGCTAAGCTACGGTTGTGAAATTTGTATGAGATTTTCACAAAACACAAATGCAAGGAGGGTGGCATATTCCCCCTGACATCTCTTAATACTGTGAAATTATTCTGCCAGCCGTAGACCAACTGGGGGGTGTTTTCCCTTACTCCACTCCAAAGTCGCTTTTTAAAACAGAAACCCCGCAAATCGTCCCCCTTTCACGAGGGCCTGATCTGACACTGGTAATACAAAAGAGGTTTACATTCCACAAGAGGAAAAGAGAACCCTGCACCCAGCACCAGATGAAAGCCATCAAGTGTGTGTACACTGCTGGAATAAGACATTGTGACTTCCTTGTCTTGTTTTGAGAGCAGTGAAGTGTTTGATGTTATTCGCATCCAATGGTACCGAATACTAAATGCATTAATAAAGAGACCTTCCAAACCGGCTTTGTGTGGGCAAGAAGGCCGTTTTATTTCTCACTTGGATGCAAGCAGGCCAAATCCAAGAAAGGACAGGCGAAGTGGGTAAGGTGGGAACTGGCTGTATAGGCTGGGGTCGTTTTTTTGTTTTTTTTTAAGACGGGGTTTCACCATGTTGGTCAGGCTGCTCTTGAACTCCCGACCGCAGGTGATCCGCCTGCCTTGGCCTCCAAAGTGCTTGGATGACAGGCTTGAGCCACTACGCCCAGCCTTGGGGTAGTTTTTTTTGTGGGGGGCGGGGGTGTGTAAGATCAGTTACAGTGGTGTGGGGTAGGGACAAGGAGTCTACATGACCACAAGTTCAGTTACAATGGTGGGTCGGGGTGAAGCAGAAGAGCAGTTCAGATGACAGGATGGGTGAGAGGTATTCACATTATCATAAGAACAGTTAAGATGGCAGGGTTGGGTGAGGGGCTTGTCCGGGAAGCTCCAAGCAGGACTTCAGACTTTCAGGCTCCAGGCTTGCATATGGAGACCTGACATTTGACCTAGAAATAGGCTGCATTTCTAATCTGCCCAGAGGCTCAGATATCTATGTTCATTAGAAGTTAGCATCGGCCTGGCAGGGTGGCTCACATCTGTCATCCTAGCACTTTGGGAGGGCGAGGCAGGCGGATCACCTGAGGTCGAGAGTTTGAGACCAGCCTGACCAACAACTAAAAAATACAAAATTAGCCGGGCGCGGTGGCTCAAGCCTGTAATCCCAGCACTTTGGGAGACCAAGGGAGGGGATGGATCCCTTGAGGCTAGAAGTTCAAGACCAGCCTGGTCAACATGGTGAACCCCATCTCTACTAAAAGTACAAAAATTATGTGAGCGTGGTACTGTGTGTCTGTAATCCCAGCTGCTTGGGAGGCTGAGGCAGGAGAATCGCTTGAACCCAGGGGCAGAGGTTGCAGTGAGCCAAGAAGGCACCACTGCACTCCAGCCTGGACAATAGAGCAAGACTCTGCCTCAAAAAAAAAGGACAAAGGACATGAACAGACACTTCTTTAAAGAAGACATACAAGCATACAAGCAGCCAACAAACATGAAAAAATGCTCAACATCACGAATCATCCGAGAAATGCAAAGCAAAATCACAAGGAGAAACCATCTCACACCAGTCAGAATGGCTATTTTTTTCTGCCAGCTTCTTGATTTTGGACAGAATGGCTGTTATTAAAAAGTCAAAAAATAGGCCGGGCGCGGTGGCTCACGCCTGTAATCCCAGCACTTTGGGAGGCCGAGGCGGGTGGATCACAAGGTCAAGAGATCGAGACCATCCTGGTCAACACGGTGAAACCCCGTCTCTACTAAAACTACAAAACATTAGCTGGGCATGGTGGCGCGTGCCTGTAATCCCAGCTAACCAGGAGGCTGAGGCAGGAGAATTGCCTGAACCCAGGAGGCGGAGGTTGCGGTGAGCCGAGATCGCGCCATTGCACTCCAGCCTGGGCAACAAGAGTGAAACACCGTCTCAAAAAAAAAAAAAAAAAAAAAAAGTCAAAAAATAATAGATACTGGTGAGGCTGCAGAGAAAGTGGAATACGTATACGCTGTTGGTGGGAATGTGAATTAGTTCAGCCACTGTGAAAAGCAGTTTGGAGATTTCTCAAAGAATTTAAAATAGAGCTACCATTCAACCCAGCAATCCCAGTAGCGGGTATATACACCCAAAAGAAAAGCATTCTGCCGGGCGCGGTGGCTCACGCCTGTAATCCCAGCACTTTGTGGGGCCAAGGTGGTGGATCACCTGAGGTCAGGAGTTCGAGACCAGCCTGACCAACATGGAGAAACCCCATCTCTACTAAAAACACAAAACTAGCCAGCAGTGGTGGCACATGCCTGTAACCCCAGCTACTCGGGAGGCTGAGGCGGGAGGATCACTTGAACTGGGAGACGGAGGTTGCAGTGAGCCGAGGTGCCATTACACTTCAGCCTGGGCAACAAGAGAGAAACACCGTCTCAAAAAAAATAAATACAATAAAATAAATAAATAAAAAATGGGGAAATGGACCCGCAAGAAAGTGCCCGCCCCAGACAGGGGTGTCTTGTGGGAGGGGGACGCAGCCCAGGCGGGCGGGAATCGGGGCTCCCAGGGTGCGCCTGCAAGGGGCTCCTGAGCGCGCGTGCTCCGCCGGACCCCGCCCTGTTACCCTCCCCCCTCCAGGTGCACCCAGGGTCAGCTCTTGCACCTGGGACTGCGTTCCCACCAGGTAGCCCGGGCGGAGGGGCGGGGCGGGGCGGGGCCTGCCCGAGAGCCACGTCCGGGGAGGGACCAGGCGAGCGGAGGCCCCGGCACGCAGGTGGGGCAGCGGGGTCCGTGGCCGGGTAAGGCGGGCGCCCGGGGGAGGGAGCGCGCAGGGAGGGAGCTGTGTCCCGGGTGGGGGCGCCACGGGAGCCCCCGGGGCGTGCGTGGGGACGAGGGGCCCTTGGCCGGGTTGGGGACGCCCGGGCGGGCGCGACGCCACGTGCAGCCCTGGGGAGGGCTCTGGCCCGCGCGCAGCCTCCAGGTCCCGGCGGGTTCCAGACTCCCCTCCCTCCACCTCGTTTCTTCCCCGCCTCTGGTTTCCGTCCCCGCCCCCCGCCCCGTCCGGTCCCCTCACCCAGCACGCCTCCCCGCGCCCTCGCCTCTCTCTGCCTGTGTTTTGCTCTGGTCTGCTCGTGATTTGTTAGTATTTATGTTGCTGTTGAAATTACTCGGGGTAATAGATTAGATAATTAATAGTCGGGTTAAAATGGATGGAATCAAAGAGAGTAGAGTTTAATTAGGCCTTTTTGAGTAGCTACGGTAATGGAGGCTGAAATTTTGGGTTTGTGAAATGGTCTTTGGTGTAGACTTTTCTAGTCTAATTAGGTCTAGTAGAGGCGAAGCCAGATTCTGGCTCGTGAACAGGCTTGAGTGGGGGCTGAACGGTGAACCGTGGCTGAGTACAAACCTAGTATATTGGAGAAGCCTGTGATGGGCGCTGTAGTTTAAGGATGGTAGTTATGAGATGAAGCTCTGTTGCTACTAAGAGGCCTGACTGAGGTGGTCACACCCAGGGCTGTGAGCTTTCCATAGAGGGGGCTAGTTTTTTGGGGGGCGAAGCTGACTGTGTCAGCTCAAATGTTCCCTTGGGGTCTCAGGTTGGGCCGGGTCAGTGCCTGGGACAGCACCCCCCGCAAGCTCCCTCACACCAAACCTAAGAAAGAGGTAGGTCACTCTGGTTTCACAAATGAGAAAACAGAGGCCCGGGCAGGTGCTGATTCAGACTCAGGGCCCGGGGGTCTGGGTGGTTCTACACACGGAGTGGAACCCCCAGGAGTTAAAAACACGAACTTTAAACCGAGCCACTAGCAGCCTTGGGGCTCGCTAGGGAGGCGGGGAGGCCCTGCCTTTCCCTGTCCCTCAATCCTGGGGGGCCTCCTGAGAATCCTGGAGGGCTCTGCCACACCCTAGCTTGGAAATTTCCAGGCCGCCTTGGGAGAAGTGTGAAGGCCTCAGAAGGAACCACAGTCCACCTGGGGGCAGGAGGGTGTGATTGTTTGTCGGGGTGGGGACACCGACTTAGGGGTTTAGTGGAAGAGGCTGTGTGGATTCCAGAGAGCTCTGTGCCATCCCTCGCTGGCCTGTGAAATGCACTGTTGACATTTGTCCAGCTGAGAACTCAACACTTAAGCCTGCGCCAGTTCAGAAGTCCACATCCTTTGATTGGCCCCTCTGTTGGCAGCTGTAGGATCCTGTTTGTGGGCTCCTGCTTTGATTTGCTGACTAACCATTCCCCAAACCAACACAGGTGAGGGCCGTAGGGCAAAGAGGGGTATGGGATGTCCAGCTAATTCTGTGGACAGTCAGCTGCCTGGTCCCTGCCCTCAGGGTCCCAGAGTCTGGCTTCTGTGTGATGGAGAGAAGCCAAGGACTTGTGGGAGCTTAGGGAGAGCTTCCTGGAGGAGGCGGCCATTGAGCTGGAAGGTGGATGAGGTGCACGGGGAAGGGCTTGGCACCCACTGGCTAGGGATACTTCGCTTGTGAGTTACAGGTGGAAAAGTCCATGGAGTACTTGATGCAGGTGGTGGCAATTTACTTGAATAACTTCATTGGGTCATTGAAACTTTTTTTTTT